CGCGCCCCCTGCATCGGCAGGCGGACTCTCAACCACTGCGCCACCAGGGAAAGCCCTATTTTTTCATGACCTGGGTCCTCCCCTCCTCCATCCCACGCCCTCCTCCCAAGCTCCCTAGCCAGTAGCCCGAACTTGTTTTCTCTAGAGGGATTTTAAATCCAGCTGTTTTATGGAGATGCTCATCGTTATTCTCAAAGGCAACAGCATTGTGTTTCTTTTGCCAGGATGCCCATATCCGTGACATAAATCAACCCTCTGGTATACACACACATTCTCCCTCTCTCACTCCCTCCCTCCCGCTTCCTCTTCCTTCTTTCCCACCCACCTTCCCCACCCGACCCCGCTCCCTTCAGCTGTTATACCTGCCACCAAGGATGCAGCTTCTCCCTGTGCCTCTTCTCTGCCCCCTGCACCCTCCTCTCAAGTTGCCTCTTTCTTTAACTCTCTGCTTCATTTCTTAATATCACTCTCTCCATTTCCCAGCTTTGTCCCATGTACCGTATTTCACCTGTTCCTATTGCATCGAATATTTTTTCCCATTTCCTCTTCATTTTTCATTGGCAGCCATGATACCCATCCCATCTTTGGAGTTTATTTCAATCCAGACTAGGATTACATTTGGCCATATTCTTCCTTTTTTTTTTTTTTTTTATCCTAAGCATCAGGGTGGACCAACGTCAGTGTTCTAAAAAGTGCCCTAATATCAGCATATTCATTCTTTTCTGTGATGGTGGCAGAAATCCTAACTAAAGGGCATTTAGGGTATTAAGCCTACTCTTTTCTGAACATACCCTCATCTTAGACTTTCAAGAAGAAATACCCTCATCTTAGACATTCAAGAGCATTGGTAGATGGCACACCCTGACAGCAGGGGGTCTCCGTCTAAGGTGATTGGGAAGTTTCCAGGTCTTGGCCAGCACTCCTAGAGAAGGGATAACTGGTCAACCAAAGGCTGGGCTGGGAGTCCCAGAATGAATCCCTGCTCAGGCTGTCACTAGGATGCTGGAACTCCTCCGGCCACTTCTGCCCACGTCCCCGTCCCTCTCCCACAGGGTAGCAAGTGAGACGGGCCTGTGGCTTTGTTACACCATGTCCTCTCGTCTGACACCATCGGCTGTTCTAACTGTGCCTGCTTATTGATCTGCTTAGAGTAGATACTAACTGCCGCTTCCTGCTAAACTTGTTTTTAGAAGATATAATTTTTCAGCCTTTTAGGCTGCTCAAGCTGTCCTTCACTGGCTGAACTTGGGCTTTTGATGCGTGCTCCCTCCCTGGGGTGCCAGGGGAGCCAGGCTCAGGCTGAGATACCAGCAGATCAAATATGAGTCCTTGTCTCTCTGTGCTCCTGACTTGGCATGCTGGGGTGCGTGCCCCCCGGGATGTGGGGAGGGGAGCCTGGGGCTCATCTCTTTCATGTCTCTGCAATCTCACCATCCACCATGCAAGGCCGAGGGGGAGCTGAGTGAAGGTGGGTGGATTTGATACCCTGGAGTTCAGAGAGAGAAGGGGCATATTTCCCTCGAGGGAGTCCTCTGCTGGGGAACTTCAGTGAGGTCGTAAAAATGCTGCATCCTCTCTTTCTTTCTGCCCCTAAAAGAAGAAGGAAGTGTGACGTTAAATTTATGAGAACCAGTGGAGTGCAATGAAAATAACACTGAATGTGGTTTAGAAGACATGCATTCAAATCCCTTTGGGGCCACTCATTCTTTCCATAAGCTTGGGCCAGTCACCTCTCCCCACTGGACTTCTGACTTTTTCTGTAAAGTGAGGGGGTTGGATGATGTGGTTGCTAAGGCTTTTTGCAGCTTTGTGGGATTAAATATTGGCCACATTAGAGATAAATATCAGATAATGTAGTCTCCATTTTTTTCCCCCTTGAAGCATAAAAAGACTGTGAAACCCAAGTACCTAGATCTAGAGCAGTAGTTCTCAGCCGGAGGCGACTTTAGCCCCCAGGGGACATTGGACAAAGCCTGGAGGCATTTTTGGTTGTCTAAACAGGCTGAAGAGGGGTTGCTCCTAGCATTTGCTGTGCTGGGGTGATGGTAAACGTCCATACAGTGCACAGGACAGCTCCCACAACAAAGAATTATCTGGCCTCAAATGTCAGTAGAGCCGAGCTTGAGAATCCCTGATGTAGATAAAGGCAGTAGTTTGTACAATATGTTCGATTCAGTACAGCAGTCTTTCAGGTGACCACAGCTTACCTCTTTTCCTTCCTGAGTGTCATTCACTTACTCTACCCATTAAATATTTTATATCTAATACATCTAGCCCATTAAATATTTTGCCTCTTATTAAAAACAATTACGTTTATACATTTTTCTTCAGGGAATAAAATTCCTTTTTTTAATCTGGCTTTTCTCTAATTCTGAATACTATTTATCTTCCTAATTTCTGTCCCCTGTTTTTCCATCCTCCCCATCCATTCAGCTCCCTCCCACCAGTGATCAGTCCCTCTTTGGCCCTTCCTCTGGCCTCCTTCTCTGTCCCTTACCCACTTGGTTCCTTCTGGCCCATAGGGCACAGTGGGTAGCTGCAGCAAGACGAAGAGGCCGTCCTATTGGCAGGCCAAGATTGCTTCCATCTTTTCCGTGAACTCAGCATCAATCATGGAAAGACTTGTGGGCCCTGGGGCCTTCTTGCATTTGGCAGTGGTACCCACTGTAACCCGAACAGGATGTTCAAGCTAGGGGCTGGTGAGGAAGGTAGATGAAACATAAATAGTCAAGGGGAGTATGTCCAAAAGGGCTGAAGGGTTCCCTTCTTTGTGCAACCACAAGGGTCTTGATTTCCCCCAGTGGTTTTTGCATGTCATGAAACTATTTTCTATCCAAGTTTTGTACCTTTAAAAGACTTATATAAATAAACTTACAGGTTAATCAAAAAATTTTTGTCATGCCCAACTTTTGGATCAGAAATACAGTCTCTCTACCCCCCTGGAAAGGTTGGCATCTCCATGAAAGAGGTGGCTGGATGAAAAAGCTCACGGCCCGAAGGTGGGAAAGAAATACCAGGAAAGAGATTCAGTTATTACAGGACTGCATCAGGGTTTACTGGCATGGTGTCTAGTCTGGAAACTAGTCGCGTACAGAATATGCCTCAGTGCCTGCTAGCTATGGGGAATCTGGCTGTGGTTATTGTGAACCGCCTCACTGCTTCAGAATGTCTTTCTTTTGTTTCTCTCCAGCGACAGTTGGGCAAGAACATCAAGTTTGGGCAGCCACCACCCAATGCCATTCCCACGAAGAAGGCAGACAGTGGCGAGGCTCGCTTGGAAGAGGATCCGTTCCTGACCAGTCCCATGGAAATTGTGACTCAGCAGGACGTCATCCTCTCAGACACCGAGAACAAAGTAAGGCTCCTCCAGGGAATGACTTGATTGCTAATAAGCCCAGGAGGGTACTGGGCAGTGGACAAGGGGCATCAGTAACCCTGGGGTCTGCAATGTAGGGAATAAGGTGGGAGAAGCTTTCCTGATGAGTAGCCCAGGGCTGGAGGGCACTTCCCGGGCCAGTGCCTTGATCTGCAGGGGGACCAGCTTGGAAGAGCCGGAGGCAGGGGAGACGTGCCCTTTGCCCCAGCTCTTCCCAGTGTCTTCCACTTACTCCCGGAGACTCGGGCTGACCCACCTCTTCTGGGAGCCTTGCCCGGCTTCACCTCCAAGCTGCACTATCTCCTCTGTGCCCTCACTGTGCATCCTCAGTGCTTCTTACACATCTGTGCTCCGTCTGCATCTGTGTCCACGTAACTATTTTCTCTGCATCTCTAAACGTTGAGTTCCTTGAGGACAAACTGGATCTTACGTGTCTCTGTCTCCCCAGGACATCGTTACTGCTTACTTAGGAGCACTGAATGATTACTTGTCGAATTGGACTAATTTGAAGGGAAATGAGGAAAGAAGTAGGTGCTCAATAAGACAGAACATATCCAACAGACCAGCTTGAAGTCTATCTACTTAGTGTGGAAAGAAAGTCACACTGGTCCAGCACTGTCCTATCTAAATTTGGTCTCTTGACACTTTGAAAGAAACACTCTGAGCATACCCTGAAATGAGAGTCCCTCTAGCAGCAAAAGGGACACCCTCGGGCCTCTTATGGGAAAAGGAAGAAAAGTCCTACCAGTAGCTAGATAAACTGTCCTCTAGCTGAGGCTCTGAGTCTTCCCATGCTTAAAAGAAAGTATTCTCTGTGCTGTGCCTACCATGGCACATGCCTGAAATGACACTGGGTGTTATTAAGATGCCCCTGGAAGAAGTCGTGCTTGTTATCAGCTAATATGTCATAAGAGTAGAACAGAAGATAAGTGACTTGTAGAGCAAAGGAAGGAAAGAAAAGGTGGACAATCTCCTCTGTTGCCCATCTCTGCCTGGCCCTGGCCCTGGCCCTGATGACTCCTGGCGCCCACAGTTGTGGGTGGTGGTGAAGCAGGCATGGGGCCCATCTCTCCCACTGGTCCAACAATGCTCTCTCCAGCCTCTTGAGTGCTGGGCAGCAGCATGGGTCATCAGCCTTGACTCAGGGATTTCCTATGGACCAAAGCAAATGTCTTCCCTGTTACTGAAGATCTAATAAGTGCAGGGCACTGTGGCCTGGGGGAGAAGGAGGGTCACTCGTTCAGCAGTTGCTTCCCCAGCTGTGGGCGTCGCAGAGATGGGCCGGATTAGACAAGGGGCTGCCTCTGTGTAGTTTACATTCTAATGAGAGGAGAGTCAGACAACAAACAAGTCAACAAATAGATACGTATCATAATTTCGAATTAATAAAAATGCTGCACAGAAAATAAAACAGGGTGATGGAAAAGTGAGTAATATGGTTGGAGAGAGGCTGCTTCTTTAGATAAGGAGGTCAGAATAGCCATGAGCAGGACCAGAGGGGCGAAGGGTGTTTTAGGAAGAAGGGAGAGCTAGTACAGAGGCCCAGAGGTGGGGCTGAGCTTGTCCTGAAGGAGGAACAGAAAGCAGGCCAGTGGGGACGAGGGCAAAGGGTAGGTAGAGCACAGTATAGAGACTGGATCATGTAGACCACAGGAGAAGGGGTAAATTTTGTTCAAAAAGTAATAGGAAACCTCTGAGTAGTTTTAAGCAGGGCAGTGATAATCTGATTTGTGTTTTCTAAAGGTGTTTCTAAGTGTGGTACAGAAAAGGGACTGAGGTAGGGCAAGCTGATGTTATGGCTCTGTAAGAGACAATGAGACCCTTTTTTTTTTTTTTTGCGGTACGCGGGCCTCTCACTGTTGTGGCCTCTCCCGTTGCGGAGCACAGGCTCCGGACGCGCAGGTTCAGCGGCCATGGCTCACGGGCCCAGCCGCTCCGCGGCATGTGGGATCCTCCCGGACCGGGGCACGAACCCGCGTCCCCTGCACCGGCAGGCAGACTCCCAACCACTGCGCCAGCAGGGAAGCCCCCAATGAGACCCTTTTGTAAATATGGGCGATACAAGACAGAAGGTACAGCTGGTGCAGGTGACGTGATGTGCATGTACCCAGGGCAGGCAGGGCGACTGGGATGTGAATCACCAGCCTTTTTCTTCTCCTTCCTTCCTCCCTCCCTTCCTCCCGTCCTTCCAAGTTTTCTTGCCTCCTCTGGTCATCCACTTCCTCAGCCCAGCCCCTGTGTGCCCCTGGAAGGGCCCTCTTTTTCATGGGGTGGAAGGCAGCCAGCAAAGCTGAGAGCTCTGAAGTTGGGGCCCTGCTTCCCAGGTAGGGTGGCAGCAGGGCAGCACCTGAGATTCTCTCATCAGTGGGGAAACACATCAAGGACTGAGGTTGGAGACCGCCCAGATGGGAGATGTGTTGAACTCGGGGGAGAGGGGAGCACACACCGTGCCTCGGGAGCCCTGGTGGAGTCCGGACATTAGCAGAGTCCCCGCCGTGAACCTGCCGGCTCTCTGCAGCCAGCTGCGCCCCTGCGTGGAGGAGGGGGTGGCCCTTGCCTGCACAGACACTGTCTGGTTGTCTGCCCAGGACTTCCTGTGCTGGCGTTTGACTTGAGCACTCTCTCTACTGTTCCAGTCCAGTGAGACGCCAAGTTCTCCGGGTCCTCTGAATCTGCCTGGAGCCGGAAGTGAGATGGAAGAGAAGGTAGTATGATTTGAACTTGTGTATGCAGCTTCCTTACTTTAACTTCCATTCTTCCTTTTGTTGGGCGATCTGCTGCCTCATTTTTCCATTCATAAATGCTACCTTTGTCCATTACTTTAAATTCCTTCAAAATGCAACCAGTGGTAGATGTTGGAGTGTCTGTTTCTATGGTGATGTAACTGCTGGAACTGAACCCTGCTCTGAAAAAGAGCCACACTCCCGCCACGCCTGCGTTTGGGCTCTCAGGTGTTGGTAGTTTTCCTAGGTGTATCATGTATTTTAAGACACCGGTAAGCGATTGAAAAAAACATTCAAAAACACCTGAACGTAAAGCGTGTGTAAGGAAAAGTCTCCTTCTATTTAGAGGTGCCCCCCAAAAGACCTTAGCATTTCTCTACTTGTGTGTATTTTTGGTTTTTAACTTACACACGTTCCCCTGAAACCTGGGACGTTACCTGCAGGAGCCTAGGGAGCCCTGTGGAGATCACGTGCACCGCTTCTAGAGGCCAGTCCGCTCCCATGAGGACCTTTCACCTGCACAGGGGTCCAGGGGTCTTCCCGGGGTCTGGCAGACAGTACGGTGAGAACAGGGCATGTCCCTGAGTCTTCTGAAGGGGATGACTCAAGACAGTTCCACCACCCAGATGAAGAGGCCCAGCTTGAATAACCAGAAACGAAACATGGCATTAAATCTCAGCTTGAAATGCTTTATCTGCGTCTTCAGTCTCTCACATTTGGCTTTAACTCCTTTTACTCATGCATCCATTAGGGGATGGAAATAAATGTTTAACTCATCTCTCTTCAACAGTAGTTTAGAATTTGACACCTATTATAAAGATAACCATAAATAAATAAAAGCTTAGGAGACCAAAGGCTGGGATTATTTTTCCTTACTTCCGTGCTTCTTGTCATAAATCAGTATTTACTGAGCGTTCGTTTTGCTCTTGGAGCTAGCTGGCTCCTTTATCTTTGTGCGTAAATATGGAAGATAATTGCAAAAAGCAAAGCCACCAGCTGAACCCCATTGACTCTGCCCTTACTGTGCACGGACACAGTCAAAACAGGGGAACCCTGGCCTCCGCTGATGCTGAGCCTGTATCTCAGCTGCTGGAGAAGGCAGTTAGGGCCATGAGCGCCCTCTGCTGCGCGGTGGTGCGCTGTGGCCAGGAGCCCTTGCCTCGCTGCTTGCCTGTGAATACGCTGCAGTTAACAGGCGTGGCTCCTTACGATCTGATTCAGCGTGGACTGTGAGCCTCCGTCTCTCTGACCTAACTAAACGTATACGGTTGGTCTGAGGTTGCGCTTCGTAAGTGACCACACCTGTATTACAGAGCCGCAAGCAGTTCTGCGGTTCATCCTTTGCAGAATGGCCTTTCCCCTGTGTGTAGCACATTTCTGCCCTTCACCTTCTCACCCAGGCCTCCTCCTTTTCACTTCCAGTGCACCAGTGCTCGGTGACTTTGGCATGATCGTGCTAAAACACTTTTGCTGATTAGAAATTTTATGCCCTAGGCAGAGAGGTTATTATACTTTATTGTTCCTTCACTCTTTTAGCAAATATTTACTGAGCACTTACCAAATGAGATTTGCTACTTGGGCATAAAGAGGATTGATACAAAGGCCAGAAAGATACATTCCCTGTTTGAGGAGGCTAACGTAGGAGCTGAGGTATGTACCCACCATGTCTGTGGCAGTAGAAGGCTCTTAGAATTACAGAGTTCTTAGCACAGAGATGAGCTAGTCCAGGGCTTAGCAAACTACTACTAATTTTAGGCCTTGTGGCTGTAAGTTGCAACTACCAGACTCTGCTTTGTTCTGCTCTTCCTTTCAGCGCAAAGGCAGCCAAGGGCAATGGTGTGGCTCTGTACCAGGAAAACTTTATTCACCCAAACAGTCTTCAGGCAGGACTGGCCCACCTTGCCTGTCTTACTGACCCCTGATCTAATCTAACCCCCGTACCATTCAGAGTAGGAAAATTAGTCCCTGTAAGATTAAAGGACCTTTACAAGTTAATACAGATTATCACTGGCAAAACAAATACTCAACGTCTTTTGATTACAAAAGCAGCGTTCACTTCACTGTGCCCACGAGCCCCGTCCGCTTGCCAGCATCTCCTGCGCCGGGCTGGGTAAGGTGCAAGCTCCAACAAGTGCCGCCATTCCGGGATTCCCTGCGGGTTGTTCTCTGATCCGGACTGACTTCACATTTCAATCTCCACTGTAGGCTGCTCCAGTTAAAACGTCTCGGCCAAAAAGGCACTTCTCCTCTGCCGGCACCATCGAAAGTGTCAACCTAGATGCCATCCCCCTGGCCATCGCCCGCCTGGACAACAGTGCTGCCAAGCACAAACTGTCCATTAAGCCAAAAAACCAGAGGGTGTCAAGGAAGCACAGGCGACTTGTCGGGGTATGTATGGCCTGGCAGACACCCTTGCTGGCTGGGCATTAATGTTGCCCAGCAGGATGGTGCTGTGAGGGGCCTATGGAAGGAACTCGGTCTGTCCCTGTCGGGGATGGCTGTGTCTCAGGCACAAGGGTGAAGGGGCTCATTTCCTTTCCACCACCCTTTCTGACTTGTTGCCCGCCGGTGGCTGGTGGACCTCAGAGAGAGAGGCTGCCTTCCGAGGGGCTCCAGACACTGTGTGCTTTGCAACAGACGGGTGGCCCACTTTCCTGTGCCACGGCTTGGCCAAAGCTTTAGTCTGATTAGAGGAGACTTCTCCGTCACAAGTTTCAGGGGACATTGATGAAGCACAAATTTCATTTTTCCTCACCTTTCTAATGCTGGACTACCAGTTTTCCTATGATTATTCACGTGTATTAAAAAAAAAAAAAAAGGAATTTGAGGATGACATGTAGAGAGGTAACACAAAGACGAACTTTTCCCCACCCCCAGTTTACTCTTGGTGTGAGGGATACCCGAGGTTACCTGTCTCTGTGCGTGGTTTGGCGTACGTGTTAGGGCTTGGGTTAGTTTTAGAGGACGGGTTAGAAATAGCAAATGGGATAGAGTAAGGCTTCGGGCGTGTATTAAAAAAAAAAAAAAAGGAATTTGAGGATGACATGTAGAGAGGTAACACAAAGACGAACTTTTCCCCACCCCCAGTTTACTCTTGGTGTGAGGGATACCCGAGGTTACCTGTCTCTGTGCGTAGAGAGGGGAACGTGGCCCCTACTTTTGAGATTAGGAGGGCCACCCACATCGTGAGTAGGGTTGTAATGGTAGCCTGTGCACAAGGAAAGCTAATTCTGTTTCCCTTGCCAATGTTAGGATCGACAGAACGAGCAAGGTGGCTTCCCGCATCAGCTGTCCCTAGACCAGAATGGGCACCCTGGAGAAGACAAGCCAGTCTGGCATGAAGAGGAGCCAGAGGCGCTGGACTCGGAGGAAGAGAAGCGACGCCAAGAGGAATACTGGCAAGAACTTGAGGCCAAGTGCAAACGGCAGAAGGCCGAAGCGGCAGAGAGGCGACGCCTGGAAGAGCAGAGGCTCCAGGCCCTGGAGAGGAGGCTTTGGGAGGAGAAAAGAAGGCAGGAGGAGCTCTTGGAGGAGGAAGGGGAGGAAGAGGAGGGAGGAGTGCAGCTAGAGGCAGCGAAGAGGAAGCGTGACGAGGAGGCGCAGAGTCCGGAAGAGCCAGGCTGCCGAGGCCCGGCGCGGACGGAGCAAGACGAAGAAGGGCGCCTGGGCGCCGAGGAGCCGAGTCGCCTGCAGGAAGAGGCGCGGCGCCTGGAGAGACGCGCGCAGCAGGAGGAGCTGGAGGCGCGGAGCCGGCAGGAGGCCGAGAAGCTGCGGCGGGAAGAGGAGGAAAGAGCGTTGGAGGAACCCAGAAGGCTGGAGGAGCAGGGGCGGCGGGCGGCCGAGAAGCTGCGGCGGGAAGAGGAGGAGAGGCAGCAGGAGCTGGAGGCGCGGAGGCGGCGGGAGGAGGCGGCGGAGGAGGCGGAGGAAAAACGGAAACAGGAGCTCAGAAGGCAGGAAGAACTGGAGGCGCAGAGACGGCGGGAGGACGCGGAGGCGAAGAGGAGTCAGGAAGCGGAAAAGAAGCCTCGGGAAGCATCGAGAGTGGAAGAGGAGAATCAGCCGCTGCTGGACCACAAAGGGGGCTTGGGGAGCCCACTTCAGAGCGACACTGCAGAGAAAGCAGAACAAGAACGCCTGACACCCGAGAAGCCAAGAGAAAACTCTGAGGAGCCGAGTGTTTGGGTGAAGCAGAGCCAAGAGGCCACCGAGCCATCAGGCGAGCAGGCCGGAAAGCAGGGGGATGTTCCCGGGCATCAGCCTTGTGGATGGCGGGAAAAGAGGGAGGAAACCAAGGCAGAGCTGCCCCAGAAACAAGAGGCCCAGGTGGAAGAGGCGTTGGCTCCAGGAGAGAAGAAAGAAGCTGCCTCTCCAGAAACAGACAGAAAGGTGGAGGAGCTCAGATGGCAGGAGGTAGATGAGAGGCAGACCATGCCCAGACCCTACACTTTCCAGGTGTCATCCGGAGGGAAACAAATTCTCTTCCCCAAAGTCAATCTGAGCCCCGTGAAGCCCATGAAAGATGAGGGGCTCGCCTCTGGTCCCCAAGAGCCAAAGGCCCCCAAAGCCAGCCCGGCCTCCCACGCCCTGCCCTCGTCCCTGAGCATCCCACACACGGCCATTCTGGTCACGGGAGCCCAGCTCTGCGGCCCGGCCGTCAACCTGAGCCAGATCAAGGACACGGCGTGCAAGTCTCTCCTGGGCTTGTCAGAAGAAAAGAAGCACGTGGATGTCCCCGCCCTGGAGAACCCACCCCGAGCCCCAGGCGACCCCCGGGCAGGCAGTGGGAAGACCAGGCCCTCCCAGGAGTCTCCGAGCAGTGCGGCCGCGCTCGCTGAATGGGCTTCCATTCGGTCCAGAATCCTGAGGAACGCAGAGAGTGAGCAGCGCGGCGAGAGAGACCAGTCTCGGCCGGGTGATGAACACACGCCCAGGGGCCGATGTGATTCCCGCGGGAACCTCCGGAGGACCCCGCCGGTAAACGCAAAGTTCTCCATTAAGCCTGCCTGGCAGAAATTCTCTGATGGGGGTGGGGAGATCTCCAAACAGAACACGGAAGCGGAAAGCGTTAGAAAAAGACCCCCGCCAGGTCCCAGCGAAGAGGCCCGGCCCCAGCTCCCTGCTGCTGATACTAAAGAGCCCGTGAAGGGTGCAGAGAAACCGGGGGCGCACCAGGAGCCAGCGGACACCACGGAGGGGTGCAAATTTGCCAAAGACCTTCCATCTTTCCTTGTTCCAAGCCTTCCTTACCCTCCACAGAAAGCAGTGACCCAAGCAGAACCCGTGGTCACTTCGGACAGCGAGACCACAGGTAGAGAAGGAAAGCCGGAGCCCGTGATGCCAGGTGGGGAGGATAAAGCTTCCCCTTTTGGAATAAAATTGAGAAGGACCAACTACTCCTTGCGCTTCCACTGCGACCAACAGACAGAGCAAAAGAAGAAGAAAAGGCACAGCGCCACGGGGGACAGTATCAATGGGGCGCCGTCAGCTCCCGGGAGCACAGCTGGAGAGAGAGAGACAGAGGCTGCGGCCCTCAAGCATGGCCCGGCCCTCCCCCCTGAGAGGAAGCAAGCCCCGGCCCCCTGGAAGGACTCTGGTGAAAGCCCTCCCAGCCACTCTCCTCTTGCAGCCCAGCCTGGGCCCCCAGCAGCCAGCAGCCAGCTCCGGGCTCCAGAGCAGGACAGGGCAGCAAACAGAACGCCCTTGGCCCAGAAGCCAGCCCTGGCTCCCAAGCCCGCGGGCCAGACTCCGCCGTCCTCTCCGATCTCCAAGCTGAGCAGGCCCTACTTGGTGGAGCTGCTGGCTCGCCGGGCGGGGAAGCCTGACCCGGAGCCCGGCGAGCCATGCAAGGAGGGCCGGGACAACGGGGGCCTCCGGACGCCCTCACCCCCGCCGACTGAGGAGAGGAAGGACCAGAAGCGGGACGAGGAGGAAGAGGTGGAAACAGAGAGGAAGCCAGCTTCCCCGGCGCCGTCTGCCGCCCGGCAGGAAAAGCCTTCCGCGACACCCGAGGCGGGGAGGAAAGGTGCGTAACCCTAGGTTGCAGAACCTCGGCCTCTGTCCAGCCTGTTGTCCGTGCCCAGGGCCGGAAGTAGCCCCCGGAGCTGGCGTTGGAGCACTTCCTTTAATTAGAGGCTGGTGACCCGTTCCCCAGGGGCCCTCACTCATGGATCAGAGTGAGGCTCTTTACTTTTCTTTACAGTTTTGGAAATGTGGACTGACAGTTGCGTGTCGGCAGTTCACACCGTTAGTGATCCTTACTTAGCCAAGTAATAAGTTGGAGGTGCTGGCAGAGAGTGATTTCGCTTTCAATTGGCAGTGGAAATTGAAACGTGGTCCAAGTTAATGCAGGTATCATTCATCTTTATGAGGGGCCTGTGCAGTGACAGCAAAGACTGTGGAGTTTCCTAGACCAGTGTCTGTGTTCTGTCCCTGGGCACTAGCGGCACCCAGGTGGGAAGTTAGGGGGCTTTGGACAGCCCCCCTAAGGAGCCTCTGTGTGCATAATCAAGTTTGTCTCAATTTAATGCACAATGCCCACATGTGCATCCTGACCCCACCAGCTTGCCACTGAGAAGCCCTCCGATACGGAAATTTTAGAGCGACCGTTACTCCTGCCTGTGCCTAGTGTTTCTTGATGCTGGATGTTTGGGGCAGCATGGTGATCACCTGGATTGGCTTTGGGGCCCCAAGAACCTTCATCTGATACTTTTTCTTTTCTGTTTTGCAGAGTAGGTGGTCAGGTGTGGTTCATAGCCCAGGAAGTTAGTCGTATTTCTCAGAGAAATTCTCCCCTCAGGTTTTTTAGGGAAGATTTAGGTAATTGTTTAGGTTTGGGGTGATTTTTGCAGAGGAAAGAGCTGTTTCCCAGAGATGTTGGTTTGGTTACTTGCCTTATGGAAGACGCTATTGTCCTTTTTAACCAAGCCTTGCCCCAAAGGAGGGGATTGCTGAAGCAAGTGAGGCCCACACGTCCAGAGGACCTGTGCACCTCCTTTGTAGGCGTCCACGGTTCTGCTCAGACGCAGCGCAGGGTTACGTCCCTTCCCCTGTTGTGTCCATCCTCGATCTGGTGCAAGGCTGTGGCGTGGAGTAGGCTGGGGCCGGGGACCCGGGTGTTGTGGCTGCAGGAATTGAGATGGCTGTGCTGCCACCAGAAATCCGGGCTGCCTCTGTGGCAGTTTTCTCCCAGGACCTGTCTGCCCCAGATCCAGAGCCAAGCTGCAGTGTGGAGTGAGTGGGGTGCTCTTGCTTGGCTGGGAGACAAACTGCGGCATGCTTCTGTGGGGCTGCCTGAGCACACACTGACAGTGACCACCACCCCACCGGATCACACCCAGGGCCCCCAGTCTGTCTCTGTGTAGCTAGACTGAGTCTTTCCCCAGGGGGCCAGTTGGCCCAGGTCTCACGCCAAGCGGTGGTTTGGAGTGAGTGGGGCTGGGGTGTTCACCCAGCTCAGACTGGGGAGTGCAGCAAGGTGGCAGCCACCAGTGCAGAGTTCTCTCCACCACGATTGTTGACCAGCCAGTGCACGCACACTCCTCACGAGTAGAGTCTAGGCTTCTCCAGCCCTTCTGTCTGTCCCAGAGGTTCTCCCGGCAGCCAAGGGGACTTGTCTCCTCCATGTACAACACTAGGATTGGGATGCCCAGTCTGTGGTTCAGCCTGCTGGCTCCCCAGGGCAAGGGTCCACCCATACAGGCCTTCTCTTCCTTTTAGATCCCTCTCAGGGGCAGGGGTCCCAACCCTATGCCTTTTTGTCCATCCTACACAGTCATGTGGAAATCTTTCTTGCAGCTTTGGTTGATAGGAGTTCTTCTGCCACTAGTTTCCAGCTAGTGTTCCATGAAAAGTGTTCTGCATGTAGATGTATTTTTAATGTGTTTGTGGCAGGAGGTGAGAGCTCTACATCTTCCTACTCTGCCATCTCCATCCCTCCCCGCCTCCGGAGTCCTTAAACATACCATTTGTTATACACGGCCTTCTGATACATGGGCTGAGTATGGTGTCTGCATCTGGCTACTCAGTATTATAAAAGCTCGATTCTATTATTTCTAGATTTTAAAATAGGTGAATAGAGATTTTCATCTTTTCTTTCTTCACTCTCAGTGAATTGCCTTGCACATCCTTTAAGGCACACACACACATTATTTTGGAGACACCAATTTAGAAAGAGGTCTCCCTCCATTCCCTAGGTGGAGGTCAGCAAGGACCAATACATGGGCCAAGGCCCTGGGAAGGCATTGACTGAACCCACTCCAGTGGGAATGGAAATAGCAATAATAATCCCCCAGTGTCTGTCCTCCAATGCTTTGATTATACATATCACCAGATATCATCTCATTCTGAGATTCTCACCTCCTTCCAGTGGGTAGAACAGATACTAAGTGGTCCTTTCTCCCAAGAAGTGACCTACAGGAGCAGTGATTAGATGCCAGGAGACACTTGCTCATCTCCCCAGAGCCTGGAGGGGGGAACTTGAGTGGGCGGGCTGTGGTTCTGCTCATTCAGTGAGTATAGAATGAAAGAGAATAGGTTTAAGCATTGTCACAAAATAAAATTTTAATTAGACACTTTGAACTCCCCCATTAAAAAGATTATGTGATTAACAAAGAACTTCTCTGTCTTTTAAAACCTTGACTGAAGTTAGGGATTTTACTGTTCTGGAAAATTTCAACAACAGTCATCCTTTGTGCTTCATCAGTTACAAAGTGCTTTTGTTTACACCATCTCATTTAATCTCACAGCACGTGTGCATTGTCCTGGCTCCATTTTACAGATGAGGACATCAACATCCAAAAAGTTAGGTGACTTGCCTGTTCCTCATAGTGGTAAAACCTGGATGAGGAGTTCTTTCCCGGGTTACATGATCTTACCATTTGTTACCCTAGGACTTCTTGCTGTAATTCTCACCTAGTATTTGCAAAATGCTGTAATTAAGCCTCTAGAAACACTTCTTACATAAATGTTCCTAATGTTACTTCTTGGACTGAATGACCATAGTCATATATCTGTTCCAAAAAATTATTCAAAAATTCCATAGAATTTAGCAAAACCTTGATTTATTTACTTTTCTTTTGGGGGGGGGGCTGTTTTGCTCATTTTTCCCCCATCTCTTGGATAATATCTTGGGCATAATTCTTTTTTTTTTTTTTTTTTACATCTTTATTGGAGTATAATTGCTTTACAATGGTGTGCTAGTTTCTGCTTATAACAAAGTGAATCAGTTATACATATACATATGTCCATATCTCTCTTCCCTCTTGCGTCTCCCTCCCTCCCACCCTCCCTATCCCACCCCTCCAGGCAGTCACAAAGAACCGAGCTGATCTCCCTGTGCTATGTGGCTGCTTCCCACTAGCTATCTATTTTAAGTTTGGTAGTGTATATATGTCCATGCCACTCTCTTGCTTTGTCACAGCTTACCCTTCCCCCTCCCCATATCCTCAAGTCCATTCTCTAGTAGTGTTAGCATACGGTATTTGTCCTTCTCTTTCTGACTTACTTCACTCTGTATGACAGACTCTAGATCTATCCACCTCATTACAAATAGCTCAATTTCGTTTCTTTTTATGGCTGAGTAATATTCCATTGTATATATGTGCCACATCTTCTTTATCCATTCATCCGACGACGGGCACTTAGGTTGTTTCCATCTCCGGGCTATTGTAAATAGAGCTGCAATGAACATTTTGGTACATGACTCTTTCTGAATTCTGGTTTCCTCAGGGTATATACCTAGTAGTGGGATTGCTGGGTCATATGGTAGTTCTATTTGTAGTTTTTTAAGGAACCTCCATACTGTTCTCCATAGTGGCTGAACCAATTCACATTCCCACCAGCAGTGCAAGAGTGTTCCCTTTTCTCCACACCCTCTCCAGCATTTATTGTTTCTAGATTTTTTGATGATGGCCATTCTGACTGGTGTGAGATGATATCTCATTGTAGTTTTGATTTGCATTTCTCTAATGATTAATGATGTTGAGCATTCTTTCATGTGTTTGTTGGCAGTCTGTATATCTTCTTTGGAGAAATGTCTATTTAGGTCTTCTGCCCATTTTTGGATTGGGTTGTTTATTTTTTTGTTATTGAGCTGCATGAGCTGCCTGTAAATTTTGGAGATTAATCCTTTGTCAGTTGCTTCATTTGCAAATATTTTCTCCCATTCTGAGGGTTGTCTTTTGGTGTTGTTTATGGTGTCCCTTGCTGTGCAAGAGCTTTGAAGTTTCATTAGGTCCCATTTGTTTATTTTTATTTCCATTTCTCTGGGAGGTGGGTCAAAAAGGATCTTGCTGTGATCTATGCCATAGAGTGTTCTGCCTGTGTTTTCCTCTAGGAGTTTGATAGTTTCTGGCCTTACATTCAGGTCTTTAATCCATTTTCAGTTTATTTTTGTGTATGGTGTTAGAGAGTGATCTAATCTCATACTTTTACATGTAGCTGTCCAGTTTTCCCAGCACCACTTATTGAAGAGGCTGGCCTTTCTCCACTGGACATTCCTGCCTCCTTTATCAAAGATAAGGTGACCATATGTGCGTGGGTTTATCTCTGGGCTTTCTATCCTGTTCCATTGATCTATATCCCGGTTTTTGTGCCAGTACCATACTGTCTTGATTACAGTAGCTTTGTAGTATAGTCTGAAGTCAGGGAGCCTGATTCCTCTGGCTCCGTTTTTCTTTCTCAAGATTGCTTCGGCTATTCGGGGTCTTTTGTGTTTCCATACAAATTGTGAAATTTTTTGTTCTAGTTCTGTGAAAAATGCCAGTGGTAGTTTGATAGGGATTGCATTGAATATGTACATTGCTTTGGGTAGTAGAGTCATGTTCACAATGTTGATTCTTCCAATCCAAGAACATGGTATATCTCTCCATCTATTTGTATCATCTTTAATTTCTTTCATCAGTGTCTTATAGTTTTCTGCATACAGGTCTTTTGTCTCCTTAGGTAGGTCTACTCCTAGATATTTTATTCTTTTTGTTGCAGTGGTAAATGAGAGTGTTTTCTTGATTTCACTTTCAGATTTTT